CTCGCCAGCCGGCACAGGGGGTCTGGTTCTGGCAAATGCATCGCACTCCCACAAAAGGTGATCCCAATTAGGAACCTGTCTACGAAGGCACCACAGACAAGCTCTCGGAACAGGCAATCCCTTCATCTTGGCATAGCAGCAAGTAGAAAATCCTGCACCCACCATACAAGCCCTCACTGACTGTGTGCCCCAGGCATAAAGCTTGCGAGCCTTGCAGAGGATCCGCTCACTGTATCGCACCTGTCCCAGGAGATGCGTGCTGTCCCTCCTGTCCTTCTCAAGGAAGCTGCTGAACCGCGAGGAGCGCCAAGCCTCCCTGAAAACATGCAAAGACCGCTGAAGCCACGACTCAAATGGACCCATGGCAGGCCTCCAAGGCCAACGGATGGATCGCCCCTCAGGTACTTCGAAACCCCCAGGACTGCGTCGGAATCCTAGGCTGTACATGGCCTCGCAGAGCTCCCTGTACCAAGCTCCACCTTGAAGAACACGTCCATTGTCCCGCCAAAATTTCTGCGACCGTGCAAGCGCAGCAAAACTGGATTGAGCTGCCGTAACTCGAAGGCTAGTCCAGTGCCCCTGTAGTATCTCCCAGAGAGCCCGTGAGCCAGCCCGATGAGCTTTGACGACCACCTTGATGAGGCTGCCAAGCTTATCGCTCACCTCCTCATCGACGTTGCGCAAGAAACGACCCCACATAAGTGCAGGAACTACTCGTGAACGCACCAGCGTGCTTTTCACAACTGGCGCCACGGGGAGAACATTGATCCGAGAAAGAATTGCAATGCTTTTGTCCCATCTCTGCTGCAAGGTTTGAGGAACCTCGCCCTTGTTCTGGAGAATGTCCACGCCAAGAACACGCGCCTGACTGGCGATGTTAGCCGCCTCCACGCCCAGGGCCAGAAGAGCAGCTTCATCTTCAACTCGCTTGGCCACCACTGTGAGCTTCGACTCATTCTCCGATAGTCCCAGTCTGCGAGTCCACCGGTTCCAATGATGAATGGCCGCCACTGCCTGCCCAGGGCCGTTTGCTATGATGTTGCGATCATCAATGAAAAGAGTTTGGGATGCTCCTTGAACATCCCACCGCCGGTGTAGATCAGAACTTGCAGCTTGCAACAGCAGAACAAAAGCGATTGGGGCGAAGGGATCGCCCTGGGGAAGGCTGGAATCAACCTTCTTCACTGCGCCATGCGTAAACTGCCCAAGTTGCAGCCAACGATGTTGGTGTTGCCACAGATGAGCAAAATGATTGCGCCAAGCCTGAGGCACTCCGTAGTGCTGCATAATGCCCAGCGCCAGTTCTGGGGATGCAAAGTCAAAGCCTTTGTACATGTCAAGGGAGACCAAAACGGCCCGATCATTCTCCCAATCTTCAACGAGATGAGCCAAAGCAGTGTGGACGCCTCGCGCTTTGACCGCCCCATGCTCGTCCAACGAAACAATCTCTTGCAACCATGCTTGCACATCAGGATGTTTTGCCATGGCGGATGCCACTACTCTGCAAAGCACGCATTGAATGCTAATGGGTCTCATATCCTTAGCAGCCACGCCTCCATGCGCTACAGCAACCTTAGGCAAGAAGATCTGCTTGTAGTGGGTGAGTTGGGGAGGCCACTCATCCTTCTCAGCCCAGCGGTTCCAAAGGGTCCAGAAGATGTCCCAGGCTTTCGGAGGCCAAGCATGGATCTCGTCTCCGTGCCACCCGTCTATACTGGCGCCCCCTCCTTTTTTCAGACCTGCCTCGCGATGCAAATCACTGGGTGTAAGGCTCCAAGCATGCTCACGGTGCTCAGGGCCTCTCTGCAAATGTCCGCTTCGAAGGCGTTGGAGCTCTTCGCAATCTATGTTGCGACCCCAAACAGCTGACCAGAAGCCGTCCAACTGATCAAAGGCCTCCGGGATCGACGATGAACAGGTCCCATCAGGTTTAATAATGGCAGCGGGTGTAGGCTGGCAACTTTCCTTCAGCCAAGAGGTACAAGCCTTGCCTCGGGCCAGCATTTTGTCACGCCACCGGCGAAGACCGTCTTTGCGGCGTCGACGTTTGGTATCCTCCCACAAGGCCTGGGATGCTTGCAGGGCCTCCTCAAGACTGAGATCACGATCAATTTGTTCAGGCCAGGTACTACGGACTTGCCGAAGAAGATGCCCACAATGACGCCCAGCACCAAGAAGACGTAGGGCCTCACCAAGTCTGCCCATCCATCTGAGCAGGGACCTTTCACAATAAGATCCCCTCTTCTGCGCAGCCATACGGGAGTCCGCAGCAGACCTGAAAACAGGCAAAGAACCCTTCTTCCGGAAGTGGCTGAGGGCAGGCACGGATCCACCACAAGATTCAATTGCTATGATTTGAGCATCCTCCGCCAAAGCATTGAAGGCCTGCCATTCTGCTCCAGGAGTTGAGTGAGGGGGAGCGACCCTCCCCTCCCACGCCGACGCCAAGGCTTCAACCCACTGCTCCTCTGTGGCTTCCGACGGTTTGCAAAGAGTGCGGGTGGGCACCAACGTGTGGCCATCCGAACGTTGAGCCAGGAAAGGAAAATTTAGCCACACCAGTTTATGATCAGAAAATCTCTCTTCACCCAACTGGACCTGCGAAGGGAACTCCTCGCCAAAGAGAACACCATCATTGTTGTCCAAAACAACACCATAGTCGATGGCACGTCCCTCCCAACGAGTGGGGATGTAGGCGTCCCCGTCGAAAGCAGTCAAGGTGTGAGCCCCGGCCTGGGTAAATGGATTCGCATCCGGAGTCTGATTCCAATCCCCCATAGCAACCCAAAACTTGCCCTGGTTATACGCAGAGACATAGGACTCGGAAAGTTGGTCGGTAAGACCTCCTTCAGCAACGTGAGAGGGTCGCTGCCACAAGCCAACTATACAACGAATCCGCCGAAGTCCACGGACACATACTCGCCCTCTGGGTTTGAAGCCGTGCCGATACAACAAGCATGAATATCCCGCCTGACAGCAAAGAAAACGCCACCACGCGTCCTGTTGTCCCGCCCAGGAAGATTGGCAATCCACCAGGCTTTATATCCATGGCTATCCACATGTGCCTGTAGCTTACGTGTTTCGAAGTGTGA